GGGTCCTGCCCCCCATTCCGGAGAAAGAGGGGCCCGCGTGTCCAGGCCCCCGCCCCATCCAGCAGACGCGCGGGGAGAGGAGGCAGCGGGACCGGTGGGGGCACACGAGTCCTCGGGGAGACCTCGCTTAATTACCCAGGCGGGGAGAAATTCCGGACGGCGCCGCCCCACCATCTCCCTGTGTCGGGCGGAGATCGTGAGCCGAAGGACGCAAAGATAGGTAGAGAGAGTTGGTGACTGAAGACCCCGGGACACCATCCGAGCCGTCCTGGGCGTCTGCAGCCCCCCAGTCAGGGCCCCGCCACCGCAGAGTCTCTCCCCAGAACACAGCCGCCCTATATGCCCACAATTTCTGGCGGCCCTGGCCGGAGGTGAGATCTAACCTCCTAGACCCACAATGTGCAGAAGCCTTCCTTCCTGGGTCGGCCCCGCGTGCCAGGCGCCCACCCGCCGGCCTCGGCATCGCCTCCAAACCCACGTTTCTAAGAAAAGTCACCTCTCCCCAATCTGGGACACCAGCCCCCCCCCACAGGCCTGTGGCACTGAGCAACTCAGCAGAGATGTGTCTGAGGCATCGGCACTCCTGGGGGCTCTCCAAATTCAGAGGCTCAGAAACAAACGGAAGCAGGAGGTGTTTTCCTTGAGCCCAAAGGTTGGGGAAGTGCAGGACCCGGAGTGGATTCCCTAGCACACTGGGGGTCTCAGAAAACCTTGGTGAGGGAGTTGGGAGGGCAGTGGGGGGTTGGAATGGGTCGCCAGGCAAATGCCAAGGAAATGGAGGGGGGGGTGGTGGTGAGGAGACTAGGGAGGAAGAAGAGGAGGGAAGGAAGAAAAGGAGTGACCAGGAGGAGAGTTCACCCAGGCCTTGAACCCGGTAACAGCAACAGCAGAATTCTCTCTGCAAAGTCCAGCTCCTGGCCCCCTGCAGCTCCAAAGACCGGGAGTGGGGAACCGGGTTGGTCCAGTTGTTGTACCTCCAACCCTAATGGCCACTGGCATGCCTGGAGCTGGAGAGTGCGTGGGAGTCCTGCCCAGAGCGCCGGGCCGGCATCCTGGCTGACAGTTCCAGACGCCCAGGGCGCACAGCACAGTCATGGATGGATCCCGACCCCTCCATCCCTACCGCCTGCACTGCCCTCCAGTGCCTGTGTTCCCGCTTGGGCCAGGGACACCAGGCCAAGGGGCAAGGGCAGCACGAAGGCTGAGTGTCCGGCTGGCGCAGGGGGCAGGTGGATTTGTCAGCGCTCGCCTTGGCATGACGCTTGGGGGTGTGTGAGCCTGTGCGTTTCTTTGGGTATATTTGTCATTGAATGTAACTGGGGAGTGGCACCCACCTGTGTGTTCTTGTGTGGGATCATGTGTCTAGATTTGTGTCCACGAGGTCTCTGAACTCCAGTGTGTGTGCAAGGGAGTGTACCCATGAGTCCTGCGTGGGTGCGTGGGTGTTCATCTGTGTGTGTCGCTGTATGGGTGTCTGATTTGGGGTCCAGGAGTAGGAGAGTGCACACGCCTACGTTGCTGTGCGTCTGTTAAGGTGTGTTCGTGATTGTGTATGTACGTCCCCGCGCGAGTAGAAGGGGGGGAGGGCGTCCCTGGCGGCCAACGGCGCCCGGGATCCGGACCTGCGTCCTCAACCCCCAGAACGGCACGGGCCTGGGTGTAGGGCAGCGCGTTCCGAGGTGGGGGGGGGCCCTTACCTCCGTAGTAGGTGTACGGAGTGGACCCCAACATCTCAGACTCGTCCAAGCGGCCGCCCAGCGGACGCATGCGCCGCGGACTCCGGAAGAAGGCGTGTCTCCGGGCGCCCAGCGCGCTCAGTTGTTTCATCCTGCGTTCTTTGGACCGTCGGTTCTGGAACCACACCTGGGACAGAGCAGGGATTGTGAGCTCTGATCCGGGGTGCCCTCTCCTTCCTGCCCAGGCCGCTCCTTCTGGGTTCTATAGCCTCCTCACCAAGACTGCCCAGGGGCGGGGGCGGGCGGATTAGGCCAGGAGAGGTGGAGAGGGGCTTCGGGGAACCAGCCAAGGGTGAAGGATTTCGCGGACCCGTGGGGCGACTCATAAAGACCTGGGCTTCCTGGTCCTTGGCCCGCCCTCGGCCTGACGGCTTTATAAAGGCCTCCCGCCCTGCACGGCCCTGGTCCCGGCCCCTCGGCTCCCCAGCCGGGCTCTGGCCGTTTGTCTGTCCGCCCGCGCACCGGCGCAGGGAGAGGGCACGTGGAGAACCTTGCCTTCTTCTCCGCTCGGAAATAGGAGAGGAAGGAGGGGGTACCCCAGCGAGGCTTAAAACTCCTTGAACGGGGAGGGGGCGGGATTCCGAGGGGTGAAGTGACCCGCCCCAGATCGCGCCGTCAGGAGGTCAGCGGGGCTTTGCAGAATCTTTCGGTTAGGAGTTTGACCAGCCGGCCCTGCCCTCGGGCACAGAGTCTGCCCTTCGGCAGACCCCAACTCGGCGCACTCTTGGCCAAGGAGGCTGGGCGGGAGGCTCCTGTGGGCCTCCTGGCTCCGGGGCTCCTCTGGGCTGGGAAAGGGCGACCCGGGCCCAGCCGCACCTGGATGACGCGCATGTTGAGGCCGGTCTCCTGCGCCAACTGTTCGCGGATGTGGCGCGTGGGCTTGGGCGTGGCGGCAAAGGCAGCCTTGAGCGTCTCCAGCTGCTTGGCTTTGATGGTGGTGCGCGGGCCGCGCCGCTTCGTGCCCGAGTTCTGCTCCTCGTTCTCGTTGTTGGCCGTCTCCTTGTCCGACGACGTCGAGTTGTCCGTCTCCTTGGGGTCGTCCTGGAGAGGGTCCTGGAGGTCCGGGGACAAACTGCGGTCCGTACAGGATGACACTGCGGGGCGCACAGAGCGGGAAGAGGACCCCGGCGTCAGCGGCGGCCCAAGGTCTCTGCAACCGGGTAGCGGGTTCCCGCCGACCCCCGCGCGCAGCTACCCGCGCCGGGTTCCTCCCCAAGCCTTGCGACAGCCCCTCCCCCAGGGGCCCGGCGCCCGCCCACTCCCTCCAGGCGGGGCCGGCCTTCGGAGAGACCCTTCTCCAGCCCTCTCCAGCACTTTTCGGCTAGGGCCTGGGTGAGGGGCAGGCACGCCCTCTGGGGGAGCCCGGCCTTCGAGGAGGGGGGACCGGGAGGAGGCCACAGAGGCCTTCTCCCCTCTCTCCTTCCTCCAGACCCCACTGACCGTCCTCCCAGAGCGGCCTGAAGTTACCAGGAGCTGAAAAGATTCGGAAAGTGGGGGGAGTCGTGTGGTTCCAAACTGGGGGAGGAGGGCAGCTTGGAAAAGGTCCCTCCGGGGAAGGAGAGCGGGGAAAGAGCCGGGAGTCCGTATCTGGTGGGGACAGACTCCAGATGCTGTCCCCCTTCCCCGCCCCTTCCATTTGCCCCAGAAATGCCTGGTGGGAGCGGAGAGCGCCGAGCCTGGCACAGAACGCACACGGGGAGGTGGGGGCACCCGCCCTCCAGAAAGGTTCTGCCGGGCGCATTTGACGTCCCCTGCCGGCTCTCCCCCCAAAACCCGAAATCAGTCCAAATGGGGAGGCGCCCGGAGGCACACGATTTTGCTGCAACATAACGCGTTACCAACTTTAAAGAATCGCTCGTTCCATTTTCCTCTGGGAAAGCTTAAGAGAAAGCACAGCGGCGAACTGAAATTCTGAGGATTTGGGGAGCAATGGCTGCGGCTCGGGCGATGCCGGCAAGCCAGCCAGGCTGCGGCCCCCGCGGGCAAGAAGCGCGCGCCGCCTGCCCATATGGCGGCCGGGCTGAGGTAATTGGAACAACGCCGTCTCGGGCACAAAAGCCGCAGTTGGGCTTTGTCCGTTCATCGGAGCTGCCGCCCCTGCTGCCCAGCTCCCCTTTCGCCTGCTGCCGGCCGGCCGCTGCCGCTGGATTCCCAGCGGATTAGCGGGGTTACCCCTGGGGCTGGGGTGGCGGGTCCCGCCCCATTCCGAGTGAGGGGCCCGCGTGGCTGCCCAGGCCCCCCGCCCCATCCAGCAGACGCGTAGGGGAGGAGGCAGTGGGGACTGGTGGGGGCACACGGAGTCCCTCGGGGAGACCCCTCGCTTACCCCAAAGGGAGAAATTCGATTTGCTGCCCCACCATCTCCCTGTGTCGGCGAGATCAGGGAGCTGGAAGGACGCAAAGATAGGTAGAGAGAGTTGGGTGACCAAAGGACCCCGGGACACCATCCCGAGCTGTCCCAAGGCTCCCAGAGCCCCCAGTCAGGCCCTCCCCAGCCACCGCAGAGCCCTCCCCAGAACACAGCCTATGCCTGGCCAATTTCCTGGCGGCCCTGGCCGGGAGGTGAGACTAACCTCCACCCACAATGTGAAGCCTTCTTCCTGTCGGCCCCTGCGTGCCAGGAGCCCACCCGTCGGCCTCGGCATCGCCTCCAAACCCACGTTTCTTAAGAAAACACCTCTCTCTGTCCACACCAGCCCCCCACACTGTGGCACTGAGCAACTCACAGAGATGTACATCGGCACTCCTGGGGCTTCCAAATTCAGAGGCTCAGAAACAAACGAAGCAGGAGAGGTGTTTTCTCTTCTTGAGCCCAAAGGGTTGGGAAGCGCAGGACCCGGGAGTGGGATTCCCTCAGCACACTGGGGGTCTCAGAGACCTTGGTGAGGGAGCTGGGAGGGCAGTGGGGGTTGGAATGGGTCAGCCAGGCAAATGCCAAGGAAATGGGAGGGGGGGGGTGGCAGAGAGACAGGGAAGAAGAGGAGGAAGGAAGAAAAGGAGACCTCAGGGAGGAGAGAGCTCACCCAGCCTTGAACCCGTAACACAAGCAGAATTCTCTCTGCAAAGTCCAGCCTGGCCCCTGCAGCTCCAAAGACCTGGGACCCCCCCCCACACCCGGGACAAGCGTCCCCGAGAGAGACCATGACAGCTGCCCGAAGGCCCAGAGACCCAGGCTGCGAGACACAAGGACCAGAGCCAGAAGCACAGACAGAAAAATATCGTGACTTCAAAGTCAGAGGTTCCCCGACAGACAGAGACAGACAGTGGACACAGAGTCAGTGAACCATCCGAGACGGTGCCTTGGAAGTGAGGAGATCCACCGAGAGCCGGAGACACGGAAATAGCCAGAGACAGGGTCACTGGGAGATGGGCAGTGAACAGTGTGACAGGGGGGCGAAGAGGGGACCCAGGAGGGAGTCCCCAGACTCAGGTGGGAAAAGAGACCCAGAGGCACCAAGCCCAAGGCAGAGACAGAGACCAGGGCGTTCGTCTAGGATGAGCACAGAGAAAGGGATGAGATGGACCGTTGGTTAGAGATACACCGTGAAAAACCCATCAAGAGCCGGGGAGGGGCGGGGGAGGCCAGGAGAGACAGAGGCGCCCACAGACCCGGCAGATGAGTCAGAGACACGGGAGAAGAGTTGGGTGGGAGATGCTGGGGTGGCCAGAGACCAGAGCACCAAATGGTTGAGAGGGGCCGGCGACCTGGGGGGTGGGGGGGGAAGAAGCCGGACCTGGTTCTGGGGAGAGACTCTGCCCGAGCAGCGGAGCAGGGCTGAGGAGTTGGCCTGGGGACCCGGCAACCGGAACTCTGACAGCCCCCGGCACCCCACGGCCCTGGCCGGTGCTTCGCCCCCTCAAACACAGCCCTTGGACCTTCTGGGTGAATGTGGGGGTCCCACCATTTGTGCCGGCCTCACTAGAAGCCCGGAACTTGAAGGAGGGAGGGTATTCGCCTGGTCACGTCCAACGCTTCGTGGGTACTTCAGCGGGAAGGCTGGGGCCTTCAGTCTCACCCCGGGGGGCGGGGGGCGGTTTGCCGGGACACCCAGCTTCGGAAACATTTGGGGACACTGAGTGCTTCTGAGAATCTGGTGATAGCTATGGGCTTTCTCCAGAAAAATGCACACATCGCATTTCCCCCACAAAACCAGGGGGCGCAGGGGCTCCCGGTGACAAGCCCCCCCTGGTTCTCAAGAAAATTGTTTCCGCATCACCTCTCTCACCTCCTTCCAGAACCCCTTCGCTTGGGTCTTTCCAGGCAGCCTCCTCCCCTCCTCCGCCCGTGAAGGTTTGAGGTGCGGGACCCCCACGGAAGGAGCACCTTGTAGCGGCCACCGGTGACAATAACCCGCTTTGTGCGGCGGGAAAACCACCACGCCCCCAAGCCGGGGTTTCCTCTGCACGCCCCCCCCCACCCT